ATTTTTTGTCCTTTCCTATTTGTTTTTGGCTACATTAAAGCATTTTTTTGAAAATATACAGTAAGGTTCCATATTACCACTCGATTTTCTCTAAGCCTACTTTCGGACTTTTTGTACAAAAGCCTTCAAAAACCATACTTATAATTACACTAGCGAAAAATCCAATTAGGAACATTTAGTTTACTAGTTACCAATACTTTTCGCACAAAAAATGTGGGTGTAGTTATGATACCTTGTTTACAATTCACTAAAATGTAATTGGGGTTCCATAATACCACCTTCTCCTCGACTTTAGAATTTAATCTACTATCAAAAACGTTCGATTCAGCAGGACACACAGTCCTCAGAAAAACACTACACAAAAGTGCCAGTGCTGTCAGCTAAAACAAACACACCAACAAATAATATATTAGATAGCCCAAAATATAGCCAAAGATTGCAGCGCCACAGCACTAGCGAAAATTTAAATTTGCTGACGGAATGCTTTCGGTTAACCGACATTTCGGATAACGTTTTGGCTTTCGGATAAACGACGCTCTACTGTACATATCTGCAATACGAACAAATATTTATATTTATGAAGAACATGTTTTAATAGAAATATATAAATTTTATAAATATGTACTGTTCGAAATCAATAATAGAAATAATGCTTACCAATTATAAAAATTCTACACATGCATATTATATTTAATGTAACAGAGTATATGCTAACATTATCATTTAATCTATGTAGTTTNATATAGCCAAAGATTGCAGCGCCACAGCACTAGCGAAAATTTAAATTTGCTGACGGAATGCTTTCGGTTAACCGACATTTCGGATAACGTTTTGGCTTTCGGATAAACGACGCTCTACTGTACATATCTGCAATACGAACAAATATTTATATTTATGAAGAACATGTTTTAATAGAAATATATAAATTTTATAAATATGTACTGATCAAAATCAATAATATAAACAATGCTTATCAATTCTATGAATACTACACATGCATATTATATTTAATGCAACAGAATATATGCTAACATTACCATTTCATCTATGTACAGTACTTTACTATGATCTTCTGTATAAAATTACAGAAAATTATTTTAATGCAATATCGATTGCGTTAGTATTACTCTTTTTATATTGATTATAAGACTGTGAAACTTTCGTTTATAATTATTTCGTACATTTGAAATTCTACATTTTCAATTATAAGAAGTATAATTAATGGTGAAATTGTTGTCGCAATGTATCTTCGCAATCGATACGTTTCTTAACTTTAAAAGTCCCGAAAAAACAGAATGCAACGTTTTTGCCATCTGAAAAAAACACAAAGTTTTGTAATTATCACTGAAATCATGCGTCATTAAAATTAGTAACATTTATGAATTATCTACAAGTACACAGAATTAGCAACCTTAAGAGGGATTTTCTTATCGACGACTAAAAATCCACCCATCGTAAAACACAATGAAACCTTCCCGAATCTTTTCATGAAATCAAGAATCTGTGGAAAATATACGCAAACGAAAGTAAAAACATTAATACGAAATGTAAGGTAATATTTAATAAGAAATAACAGTTGATTCAGTTCTATAAGTAAAAACATAAAGTAAGACTATCTTCACAAATCCCATTGAACGGCGCTATTAAGACTTGTCTATTCAGCAGGAGTTATAGAACATCAATAATCTATATAAATTCAAAGGGGACAAAAGAAAATTCATCATTGTAAATTCCGAAAATATTACTAATATAATATAAAGATGTTAAATATCTCTGACATTTACTTCATTTTAAGAAACTAAAAAAATAATACAAATAATACCTTTAGCATCTCTTTCAGTTTTAATTTGGATACAGCAAATTGACAGATATCTTGAAATGCATTCTGCATCTGAAAAAACAAGAAAAAACCAAAATTGATACTTAAAATTATCTGATTAATATATAACGACGAAAACATATTTATAAACTAGATAATCTAGATAATAAATAATAATAGATAATAATAGATAATAAAGAGTACAAATTGAATGGGTAAAACACGAATAAAGATTTACCGTGAATGCAAAACAGCACAATAAACAGCCAAANGACGAAAACATATTTATAAACTAGATAATCTAGATAATAAATAATAATAGATAATAATAGATAATAAAGAGTACAAATTGAATGGGTAAAACACGAATAAAGATTTACCGTGAATGCAAAACAGCACAATACACAGCCAAAATATATACAGATTAATGTACTGACAAGGGAAAGTCCTAAGAACAGGTATTGCATTAATTCATGCATTTTAATGAATAAATATCCGTAAAAATAGAAACTTGTGGTCCAGATGCCACCGAAATAAAGTGTGCAGAGCACAAAATTTAACTTTGTGTTAAACTGATTGACAAATGTCCATAATTCTTCGTGATGACGCATATATTCGATTAATTTATTTTCCAAAAATTTGTTAGTTTTCTTTATTAGAAAGAGTTCATTCAGCAGATGTTCGAATTCCTTGTGAACAACGAACAATACAATCGCTGATAACAAAAATATACATGCCATTCCTCCTATAAACAATATTAAAACTAAATCAATCTGAATAGTACACAAAAGTGCTTCACCCTCAAAATATTGCCTTTTTTCCATAGACGGGTAAAAGATACATGCAGTAGCCAGTTGGAAACCAACAACAATTGTCATTGCAAACAGAGTAACAAATAGAGAGAGTTTTCTCATTGTAGAGTTATTTTCGTTTATCATTGTCTGTCGAAAATATTCGTTCTTTAATCCAGTTTCTATTACTTTCAATTTGTTGTTTCGGATAAAACTAAGGCAGATTGAATAAGCTAAAAATACAAGTCCAAAAAAAGCATTTAATATCGAATTTTCAGTACTGACGTCATCAAACCATCCTTTACAAATTACATAATTACTGGCAATCGGTGTAGCATGCAACAAGAGCAAGCAAGAATTTACCCACAAAATGAATCTTATACATTTAGTATAAGCATTTTTCAGTTGAAGGTTTTGTAAAATGGTAATGTCCATTTTACAGTTACATAAGTAGAACGGCTCTATCCCGAAAACGAGAGATATCATGCAGCAAGGTGCTATAAAACAGCTCATGCAAATTGTATCTTGGAAATTCGAATTCATGTCTGCAACTTTCTAGCACAGTTACTCATGAAATAAATACTTTTACTGTATGTTATTTTCTTATTTATTCACGTGTATCGTTTTACGTCATTAGCGTTTTCTTAATGTATTCTCTGGAAACAATTAAATGTTACATCGAATTCTTATTTATTAGATGTTTACATTGATAATGGATTTATCAACGAAACTCCATTAGTACATTTCTCTAATGGACGTAATCCATTAAGATTCTACATATTAGCCCAGGATTACTTTAACTCAGTTATTCATTTTCATTATTTGAAATTAAGGTAATATAAACAATGTTTGAGTGTTTTTTTCTCTTTGGATCCTTTTTAAAGAAATAATTTACAAGAACGTACAATCAAACTAGAAATCTTGTCATACTTTAGTCCGCATTATCAGTACTCATTGTAGAATTAATGGCACAAAACTTGTTTAATTTTTAACGTATTTAGATACTGACATTCAAGCAAATATTCTATGACTTGTCCAGGAAGATTATCGTTTTATTTTTTAATAATTACGCCTGTAGTCGGTTTTATGTTGCACCCTTTTTACTATTAAGTGGTTATAATCATCAATATTTTATAAAGGAGTGGCATTACAAACTATATTAGTGGACGTATTTTTGAAAGTAAAATATTCAAATATTTACAGTTTAGGAACTAGATAATAACTACTAATAAATTTTCATGAATGAATATATTAATTACATTCCTGCTTGCACTCAGATTTTTTTTATATTATAAAAAACCAACACACATTATTACTGAGATCGTTCATTCATTCTTCCAAACAGACGTTTTCAACCCACTCTGTGGGCCATCGTCAGGTTAAAGACGTTCGAATCTACAAGTCTTCGAACACCAGGTTTAAATTTAAATATAATAAATTAGAACTTATGTAATATATTAAAATTGAATTAAGTAAGCCAAATATAACGAAAATAATACAAAAATAGAATAAATAGACTAAAATAAAATAAAATATAGAAATACGATAATTAAACTTTCAAATAACACCAACACTTATAGTATCACAAGCTTTTTTCTATTGAGTCTATTGAATGTATCAGCCTACGAGTTCTGTTTTCTTATATAGCCTACTTCCAAGCAGAAGGTAAAATGGTCGCATTTTTATAGTTTAAACAATTTCCCGTAAAGCTAGACCTGTCTGTTGATGCAAGCGTTGGTGAGTGTACGGTTACAATGATCCTGGCTTCCTCCTATTCAACCACGAATCCATCTGTCTGCGCTATTTTTGCTAAGGTTGTAGTGTATCGACTTTTTGCTACGTCGTAGTTATGTTCCCTAATCCTTTTGTTCAAGTTTCTAGTCGTGACGCCTATATACACTTTGTCTATTACTAATTGGTCATTATTGTGTGGTATTGCGTAAACACCTGACTGTTCACTCTCTTTGATCTTTGTCACTTCTGAGTAATGTATATACGGTGGGAGCTCTTTTGTATAGAATATTATTGTTTTTGTAGTTCGCAATTTTCTTTATAACAGAGGATAGACGTTTATTATATGTGAACTTTGTGATATTGTTGTTTCCTTCACGTTTTTTCTTGCTCAATATAGGATCATTGTATGCGGTGATGACGCATATATTCGATTAATTTTTTTCTATAAATTTGTTAGTTTTCGTTATTAGAAAGAGTTAATTCAGCAGATGTTTGAATTCCTTATGAGAAACGAAAAATACAATCGCTGATAACAACAATGAACATTAAGATCAACCCATACACAATATTGAAACTAAATCAGTATGAATAATACACAAAAGTGCTTCGCCCTCAAAATACTGTTTATTTTCCATTGACGGGTAAAGGAGAAATACAGTAGGCAGTTGGAAAGTAACAACAAGTATCATTGCAAAGAAAGCAACAAATACAGAGAGTTTCGTCATTGTAGAATTATTTTCGTTTATCATTTTCCGACGAAAATATTCGTTTTTCAATTTAGTTTATATTAATTTCAATTTGTTGTTTCGGATAAAACTGAGGCAGATTGAATGAGCTAAACATGGAATTCCAAAAACAGCATTCAATATCAAATCTTCAGTACTGACATCACCAAACCATCTTTTACAAACTACATAATTACTAGCAATCGGTGTTGCATGCAACAAGAGCAAACTAGAATGTACTTACAAAATGATTCTTACACATTTAGTATAAGTATTTTTCAGTTGAGGTTTTTATAAAATTGTAACGTTTTTTTTTCACAGTTACATAAGCAGAACGGCTCTACCTTGAAAATGAGAGATATCATGCAGCAAAGTGCTATAAAACAGTTTATGCAAATTATATCTTTGTAATTCGAATTAATGTCTCCAACTTTGTAGCACAGTTACTCATGAAATAAATACTTTTGTGCTATGTTATTTTCTTATTTATGTACAGTACGTGTATCTTTATAACGCACTGGTGTTCTCTTTATATATATTTGGGAAACAATTAAATTTTACGCACAATATTAAAACTAAAGCAATTTGATACTACAAAAAGTTCATTATTTTAAAAAATTTGTCCTGTTTCTACAGACGTGTAAAAGACTTCTGTATTCCTGAAGGTATGAGATGTGTCCGTATAATATTTGGAGCAATTTGGTGTTTAAAACTATTATGTATGAAATTTTCTGTGTTTAAGGAAGAATTTTAATATATTTATTGTATAATCTTCATTATGCATTAGCGTCATTAACTATTTCATTATTTGAAATAATTTACAGCGAAATCACATTTATTAGATGTTTATCTTGATAATGGATTTATCAACGTAACTCCATTACTACATTTTTCTAATGGGCGTTATCCATTAAGAGTCATTAGCAGTTTTGTTAACATTAATGTATTCAAATGTATAAATTGCTTTGTGTTACAGTAAAAATTTACTTGACATTATATAAACTTGTAATAAAAGCAATGAAATTTTTGGCTTATTATATTTCTGTATTATATTGCAATTTTTGGAGATTTGAGCACTAAAATTAATTAATTTGATAGAAATTTGATATAGAATTCAAGCTTTATATTGATAAAATATCTGCTCTCGTCATTCATGTATCTAACTTCGTTTAGGAGTTAAAGAAAAGACGGACATAAGGACTTGCGGCAGTAAAAATTTATAGAACTCTCTGTGTTAGCTACTTTTGAGATTTTACGTCATATAAATTAAGGCAATTTACTATCAGTTTAAACAAAGGAAAAACTAAATAAATTGAATAATTTCGGCCTGTGTGAAATAAGCCTTGCCAAAAACCTTGAAAACCACAAAGTTCAAAATAGAAAATAAGTGTTAAAATAATTTACATTTCGCTCTATTCCTTCTAAATCACTACGAATAAGTGATAAGTTATTATTTAACAACGTATAATTTTTTAACTGTTATTTTAAAAAAACATTGAAAAATTTTTCTTAAAATATATATAAAAATCAATTGAATTTGTTTCTATTATCATTTTTAGTTGAAAATATTCCTTTTGTAATTCAGTTCCTATAACTTTGAATTTGTTTTAGTAAAAACAAAAACTGATTGTATAAAATAAAAATGTGGCTACAAAAATAGCATTCAATACCCAATCTAACACATTTAAAAACTTATTTCGATTGTGCACATTAGAGAAATAAAGAATTTTTTAAATGTATTAGATCGGTCACTCGACGTGATAAAGTTTTATGTAAGATAACGTTTGTAAATGTAAATCAAATACAGTACTATAATATAAGTTTAAAACGAAAATCATATAAAGAGTTTGGTTGTTTCAGCTTACCATTGTCACCTTTACCGAGATACTCAAATGGTACGATATGGTGCAATTTCATACACCAATTGTAAATGTGATATCTTAAATTTTTTAACATATCATATGTTTCTCCTAATGTTAACTCTAACAGACTGTTAACATAAGAATCTGTCAGCCAATCAAATTTGGTAAAAAAACGGACCAAATATTTAAACTCGGCATCCTCGAAAATCACATGAAACATATTTTATGTTTGCCGGTAACCTTGTATTATGTAATTTTCCTATTTGAATGCCTGGTCTGATAGAAAGAAGCGGCTATTGCAGAAGGGGGTCAGAGTTCATTCGACCAAAAGTAGTCGTTGACTTTTAGAAGAAAGAATGACCAACGACCATTAATAATTGAAAAGTGATCCGTGTTCGATAGGTTGTGATGGCCACGCACGTAATCGAAATTGTTAACCTTAACGACCGAAAGACTTTACACAATTTGTTTGAATAAAAAAAAAGTAAACATGCGATAATAATTACTTTTGCGTGATAATATAGTTTATATTTTTGCAATAAACTGTATAATCTACATGGGAGGTTAATCCCGAGAAACGAGTTAGATAGACGAAAGTCAAGACCAGATATGCATAGAAGCAGGAGACTAGATTAATTAACTATATAGGAACTTACAGTTTTCACCGAAAGTCACGTTACATCAGTTCAAATTTTCCACTAACAGAATTAGACAGATAATCGGCACGATTCTATCGCTAACAGAAAAACTATGAAGTTGTGAGAGCCCGGACTTGACAAAAAAAGTTTCAAAAATTTTTCGAAAGAGAAGAAAAGTCATAAAGGATATGATTATATCTTTTCCCACGGATTTGCTTTCTTCTGCAGAGAGGACACTTTTTCTAAACGTGTTTCACGTGGAATCTAACGAAAAACTTGCTATTGGACACATTTTAAAATTTTCAAAAAAGGGCAAGAGTGGCGAGAGAGAGGAACCCCAAAATAAAAGAAGGGGATCGATGATGACAGACAGTTTGCTATTTCCTGGTCGCTAAAGTTCGCCATCTGTTGATCGCCAGTTTCGACCTTCTCGGACAGTTCTCTCACTGTTCGACTATTTTGGATATCTTGAACTACTTTTGAAGACATCCACGTATTTAGAAAGCTATCACTCGTTCAAGGACATCTCACCAACATCTACCAAATCTTCAGAACTTTACCGACGCCATCTCTCACCAGTCCACAATCTTCAAATCCTCATGGAAGGAT